TGAGCCACCCAGGCGCCCCAATGTCTTTATTCTTTAAAGGATTATGTATGTATGTAGGATTATTGCAAAATCAAAGAAATTTAAATATACCTGAGACGATGCAGGGGCTGATGCTTGGGGGTGTAGCCTGAGAATCTGCATTCTGAGACCACCTTCTGTGCGGTAGCAGTGCTGCCTGGTAGAGTTCCATCAGTGATGGGAATGCTCCATATCTGTGCCTCCTAGTGTGTTAGCCAGGAGGCCCCTGTCACGGCTGAGCACCTGTTGCTACTGGCTACAGTGACTGAGGAACTGACTGTTAAAGTTTATTTACCTTTCACTGCTTTAAATTAAAATAGGCACATGTGGGCTCGTGGCTACTGTAGGAGACAGTGCAGTTCTCAGCTGTAAGCTTCCCAAGGACCGGGATTCCGTCTCGTTTATCTGTGTACCCTCTTCAGGATTTGCACATTGTGGGAACAAATGATGATGCCAATAATACTTCCTTATGTTACACTCAGATTGTGTTTTAGGACTCCTTTCACGTCTAGGATCTTCTGGAAGCTTCCCGACGGCCCTGTTATTGCCTATATGGGGTCAGTATTGACTGAGTGCTTGCTTCATGCCAGGCTCTGTCACATGTGTCTTCTGGGGGCTAACTCATCTGGGCCTTGAAACAACTCTCCGAATTAGCCCCACTCTGCAGATGGTAACATTGGGGCACTAGACCCAGCAGCACACCACTCAGCTAGATGGTGACAAAGCTGGGCTTTGAGACTAGGATCTAGTCTGGCTCAGGTCACCCACATTTCACCCGATGCTTTCTTGCCTCAATGCAACTTCTCCACTGGGGTTCCCTCCTTAACAGGTGGAACAGCGGAACTTAGATTTTTCCCAAAAGCGCGACCTGAAGACCAGAGCCCCACTACCGCATTTTATGCGTGTTGATTGCCAGAGACAAGCTGAGTGGCTCTGAGCACTCCTGTCCCAAGCCAGGTCCCACCCTCACACTGGCCCTCCGTCCTGTGCTCTCGTCCTGTTATACCCATCACCTGGCTTGTTGCCACCACAGGACCTTAGGCAGCATCTCCCTTCAACAGTGAGGAGCAGAACGGTGGTGGAAGAGCATGGGCAGGCAGGGAGGGCGCAGAGAGAAGGAGAGGAGGACAGACGGACTCGCCAATGGTTAACATTGATGGAGCACCTGTGATGGTCAGGACCACGCTGGGTCCTTTTGACCCATTCAGCTGCGTTCTTCCGCGAGCATGGGCAGAGCACCTGCTGTTCCTGGATCAAAGCCCAGGGCAGCAGGAACGAGAGGGAGAGGATTCGGTCGGTGCTGCAGGGAGGTTTATAGACGCATCATCTGGAACCGTGGATGAGGTGGAGATGTCTCCGAGAGGACTCTGGGTTCGAGCCCGATCTCTGCCGCTTGTTGGCTCTGTGACCTGAAGCAAGTGGCCTAACTGATGTCAGCTTCGCTTGTGTCTCTAACACTGGGTTAGTACAGTACCTACTGTTGGCTTCTTCGGAAATTAGAGGACATGATACATCACAAACGTGTGGGACAGTGCCTGGCACGGAGCAAGCTCTTGGGAAACGTCAGCCTCTTTGGCATTGGTGTTGACGCTACCTGTTGAAACAAGGGTACAACTAGCACCAAGAACCCCAGTGCAAGCACCAGAGTTGGTTTCCAAATACTTCAGATTCTATTATGTGCAATTCCCCCAACGAAGCAGACAGGAGGATTGTGATAGAGAGGAATGAATGCAAGACCTCCAGACGCTTGTTCTAGAGAAGACTCAAAGTGTTTGGACATTGAATGGCGTGGGCCTCAAAGAGGTCGTGGGCCTCAAAGGACTTCATGGATGAGGTGGCATGGGAGCTAGCCTTGCAGGGAAGGTAGAAGATGAGTATAGAACTCTACAAGCGGAGCTGGTGGGCGTTCCGGGTGGCGGGCCCCAGGAGCCACAGGGAGGACTTGCTTGGAAATAGCAAGTGTTCCAGTTAGCTCAGAGCTCAAGGGCGTGTGTTGGCAAGTGTGGGAGGCAAGGATGAAGAAGAGGGTTCAAGCTGGACCGTAGAAGGCTCTGATGCCAGGCTCTGGAGTCTATATGTAATTTTTGCAGGCGGTGAGGGGATCTTGGAGGTATTTTTCCTCCACAATTTTCATTTATATTTACTTGAAATCTGACACACATTCTGCATTTAATATGGAAAGGCAGAGGTCCAAGAATAGCCAGGAAACTCTGGAAGAAGGCCAAAGTGGGTGAAAGGCCATACCAAATGTTAAAATATCAGAATTCTGTGAGAGTTAAAGCCGTGTGGTGGGAGTACAGAGTTAGAAAAATTGACCAGTGGGACAGAGCAGAAAACTGTGAACCTGCTCCCAAAATATGGAACATGATGAAGGAGGAAGTTCTATCGCCCTTACGTATGTGAGGTATTTAAAGATTTAAAACATTTTTTAACTTTTAAAATAATATTTCAGTTTTAGAATAGATTTCCAGAACAAAAATAGTAGAGAGAGTTCCATGAACCTCACACCCAGTCCCCCATTAACATCTTTAATGAGCACAAGTGTACTTGTAATAATTGATATCGATACATTATTATTGACTAAACTTCATACTTCATTCAGATTTCCTGAGTTTTGATCTAGTATCCTTTTTCTGGGCCAGGATGTCTTCTTAGGCTCCTCTGGACTGTGACAGTTTCTCAGAATTTCCCTGTTTTTGATAACCTTGGCATTTTTGGATGACCTTGACTTTTTTTTTAATGATCTTGAAGGGTACTGGTCAGGTGTTCTGTTGAACAGTTCCTCCACTGGAATTCTTCTCTTGATTAGATGATGAGGGGGTTATAACCTTTCCCCCATTTGTACTTTACTCTTGGAAGGAAGTCACTTTGGGCAGCCTACACTTAAGGGGTAAAAAGTTATGTTCTACTTCCTTGAGGGCAGAATACCTACATAAATTTTTAGAATTATTCTGCACAGGTTTGTTTATTTTCCCTCATATATTTATTTATTCAATTATCTATCAGTATGGACTCATGAATATTTATATTTTTTTTTGCTTTGGGTTATAATCCAGTCCCACCGTACTTACATCATTACTCAGATTGTTCCCCAGCTCTGGATATTGGGAACGATTTAAGCCAGTTACTGTATCCCTTTGATGTATCCCCATCATTGTGGGGTGTATATGGGTGTATGTATGCATGTGTGTATGTGCGCTCATGCTTTCTTATTTTTTTTAAAGATTTTATTTATTTATTTGGCAGACAGAGATCACAAGTAGGCAGAGAGGCAGGCAGAGAGAGAAAGGGAAGCAGGCTCCCCGCTGAGCAGAGAGCCTGATGCGGGGCTCGATCCCAGGACTCTGAGATCATGACCTGAGCTGAAGGCAGAGGCTTAACCCACTGAGCCACCCAGGTGCCCCCTTACTTTTTTTTTTTTTTTTTAAGATTTTATTTATTTATTTGAGAGAGAGAGAAAGCACAAGCAGGGTGAGCAGGAGGCAGAGGGAGAAAGAGAAGCAGAATCCCCGCTGAACAGGGAGCCCAATGCGGGAGTTGATCCCAGGACCCTGGGATCATGACCTGAACCAAAGGCAGACTTTTAACCGAGTGAGCCACTCAGGTGCCCCCCCCCCCTTACTTTCTGGCACTACAGGATGCCAGATGCCTCCCCTTGTATATTTCCGCCCCTTCCTAAAACCAGCCATTTGTCTGAGGAGCCCTGGTTCCTTTTATTGGACAGCGGTATGAGAAACCGTGAGTCTAATACTCATTGCCACTGGGGTGTCCTTGTTTCTGCATCTTCTAAGCAGAGGGAGCAGGAGGTCTGTGTGTGGATAGAACCCGTTTACACATACGTGTAAATATCCTCCAGGACCCTGAGATGATAAATGTCTGTTGCTCTGAGCCACCTGGTTTGTACAGCAGCCATAGGAAATTTATACAAGACCCTTCCCCTCCTCTCCAGGGAGTCCCCCCTTCCTTCTTTTATACCCTCTTGGTTTCTTCCACACAGCCAGCTGTCTGCCTGCCTTTGTTGTTTTGTGTTTTGTGTGTCTCTTTGTTCGGCTACTTCCTACCCATTTCTTCCAGACTCCTTTCAGACACCAGCCCTCTGGACACCTTGGCTCATGCCGGGAGGCACAGCTAGGTGCCCTGGTCCACATAGTTATAGCAGTGTCGCTGCCTCCTCTCACTTGAGTGTGAGCTCCTTGAGGGAGGACTCCTGCCTTTGTGCTCCCAGTGTGCGCAGGTGCTCAGGTGTTGAATGCACGAGGTGGCAGCTGCAGAAACCAAGCCCTGAAGAAGTGCGTGGCAGCTCCAGAATTTTAATGGGGGGAGGGGTTGGGGGTTCCCAGGGTAGCATTTGGTTTTCAGAGGTGGAGCCTTGAAACCAAATTTGCTTAGCGCTTAACAAAGGTAAGGATATTACAGTTTATATTATGGATGGGGAGATCAGCCCCCCACCCCCGGGTGCAGGCGGGCCAGCAACGAGTGTGCTCACCTCCCTCTACAACCCCCTGGAAGCGGACTCTAATATCCCGTGTGTCGGGTGCAGATTCCGAGGTACACATGATAACTCGGTGGCGGGTTGGGACTGCGACCTAGCTGGGCTTGTCTGACTCCAGGGCTCCCAAGGTTTGTCATCCTAGGCGGCATTTAAGCTAACAGAGTTGACGGAGAAACCCGCGAGGGAGCACAGCTGTTTGGGGCGGACCCCAACCTTTCCTACAGCTGTTCCGCATCTGCTGTGACTAGGCGGAGGGAACTACATCTCCCAGGAAGCAGTGCGGCCCCCTGGCTGCCCCTCCCCACGCCCCGCCCACACCGCCCCGCCCCGCCTCCGGCCGGCTGGTATATAAGGCCCGAATGGCCCGGCCGCCTGCAGAGTGTGGAGGCAGCGCGGGAGCGGACGGGGAGGCTGAACCCGGGGCGAGGCGGCGGACACGGCGGGCAGCCGCGGCGCCGCACTTCTCCCTCCGCCGCTCCTCATCCGCGGCGCCCACCCTACGGCGCCCGGGGTTCGCGGCCCCGCGGCGGAGCGCGGAACTGCCCTGGGCGCTTTCCCGGGCTTGGCACGGAGGATCCCGGCGGGGATCTCAGGGCTCGCGCGGGCGATGCGCAACGAAGAAAGACGCGGAGCTGTGTTCGTGCTGGGTGCCGTCGGAGGGCCAGGAGGCGGGGTGCGCTCGCCACCCCCCACCCCCCAGGTCGGGGTGGGGATGCTGGCAATTGGGAACCCCCGCGGCGAGGTCCCATCATCTCCGCGGGGCCTGAGCGCAGAGCCCGGGGCTGACGGCGCTTTGGCCTTGGATGGAAAGTGGCGAAGGGCCCCGGACCCCTAACGTGGATTACTTGGTGTGTGTCAGCCGGGCTCAGAAGACCCACGACCTCGTCTCCATGCTTGGATCGATTCATTCTACCTGTAGCGGTCGGGTCGCTTCCCTGGAGGTAAGTTTCCCGGCAGGATTCAAGGGAGGAGGTTCGAGTTGACTTGTTTCCCCCGCCCCCACCCCTCCACCCCCGTCCTCCCTGGCGACGCTTTCCGAAGGTCTCGGGTTTGGATTGAATTTTTTGTTCTTGTATTGACATCTCCGCAGAGGGCATTTGGCCATCCCTCTGCCTCCGGGCGGAGCCGTTTGGCCCTGGTCGCGGTGGCCAGCGTTCCTCCCGGGCGTTCCGGGTCAGCGCCGTCCGGCCCCCGACGCCGCCAAGCCGCAGGCTGCCCCATGGGACAGACCCTCCGCCGGGAAAAGGCCCCTTGCCCTTACCTCTGCCCTCGTGGCTCTCCGGGGCCCGTTACTTCGGGAGCGGGGCCGCCTTGGCGAGCTCCTGGCCTCTGCTCCGGGGCGACCCAGAATGTGGCTGGGGCACCGCGCCTCTCACCGTGGGGGTGGGGGTGGGGGCGTTTCTGGATGTCCCTGTCGCCGGGCCGGCTTTGGGGGAGCGGCTGTACGGCAGGGCCACCGGTGGTGGTGTGGGCAGGGCTTTCTGAGGGGTGGAGATGGAAGGATTTCGGTCCACTGTGGGCCACCGCGCCTCTACCTGGTCCCTCACCAGAACACCCCCACCCCTGCCCCTGGCCCAGCAGTCTGTTAATGGAAGGCGTTCAAGGCCAGCGTGGGAAGGGGGCTTGGTCTTGCTCCCTGAACGAAAAGCATACCGCTTCTGTATCCGTAGCTTTGTCCTTTCCTTGTCCTTTTGTGTTGGCGCTCTTGGGGGCGACTCCATGCCTGTCACTGAGTAGGCCCTGAATAGGTGTTTGTTGAATGAATGACTGAGCTAGTGGTCTTGATGTACAGATAAACTGGGGTCCTCCTTTACCTTCTCCCTCCTTGCCACTTGTCCTCAACTCCACAAAACCCCCGGCCTCCCTCCCGCAACACCTCCTGGAAGATGGCTTCCTGGAGATGCTTTCCCAGATGTGGGATTCCTTTCCTTCCCCACAACCCTATTGGCAGCCTGTTGGTGATGACTTATTTCCTGCCCAAAAGCCCATCCTGCACAGACAACGTCTGGAGGCTGTGAAGGGTCTCCCTGGGGATGTTCTCAGGGCACCATGCCTCCAGTGAGCACCTGCCTGGGGCAGGCAGGAGAGCCAGGCACCACAGCAAGAGAAAATGTAGTGTGTGTTGGTACTGTCCTTGTCCCCTGCCTACTCCCCCCCCCACCCCAGCCCGTGCCTCTGGCCGCACCCAGGTCCCTGGAAATGCTCAGGTGGGCACAGCACTTTTTCCTGTGGCCGTTCCCCACCCTCTCCCCCTGCCAGCCTCCCCCTGAACAGAGGAACTCTTAAACTGTCCCAGGGTTGACCCGCCGCTCCACCTCTGCATCTCACTTGATTTTAAAAGTAATTCACACATTCTCTCTCTTCTTTAGAAAACCACAAAAAAACGAAAAGTCAGGAAAAAAAATAGCCAGTTCCGAGTGGTGCCAGCTCTCTGATGTATTTCCTCACCGCCGAAACTGGGCAATGTATACAGCTTTGGATACTGTATTTTTCCTCTCGATTTCACTTGAACAGTCTCCAAGTAATGATCGTATTCCTCTGCCCAAACCAGACCCTAACCTGACAGTTCCCCTCTTGTTGGACGCTAAGGTATTTCTAGATTACCTTGAGAAGTAGTGCTTGGTGAGCATTTTTGTACCTAAAGATTTTGTCCACTTTTTGGGCTATTTCCTTTGGAAAATTCCCAGAAATCACTCTCTTTGCTTTAAGTCAGAGTCACGTCTGGACTGAAAGGAGGGCCCCTCTGGGTGGACATTTCCAAGATTGGCTGGGAGGAAGAGAGCCCCATGTATCCATCACTTACTGCCACAGCTGGGAGCTGAAATCCGTAGACGCGGGGAAGATGCTTGTTGGGCTAATGCAGTGTTGCGTTCATTTCGGTTTTCCTGAAGCCAGTATTGGTGTGAGAGTCACTTCAAGTTTGCATCTAGGAATACGGTGTAAGTTATTTTAGCAAGGCCTCAGGGGAAGATTTAGTAGGCAGCTGGATTAAAAATGCTGCCCCCCTTTTTTGGAAAGAGAATTCACTTTTGATTTTGATGGAAATCTAGATTTACAGGAAAGTCACAAAAATAGTACATGGAGTTTCCCTATACCCTTCACCCAGCTTCCCTAAATGTTACCATCTTACACAGCCTCAGTGTGCTGGTCAAAGCCAGGGGATTAACATCGACAGAATACTTTGAACTTATCTTCTGGCTTTAACACATTTCTCCAGTTGTCCCACTAATATATCCTTTTTCTGGTCCAGAATCCAGTTCAGAATATATTTTTTTTAAGATCTTATTTATTATTTGACGGAGAGAGAGACACAGCGAGAGAGCGAACACAAGCAGGGGGAGTGGGAGAGGGAGAAGCAGGCCTCCCGCTGAGCAGGGAGCCGGATACAGGGCTCGATCCCAGGACTCTGGGGCGAAGGCAGACGCTTAACGACCGAGCCACCCAGGTGCCTCCAATTCAGAATCTTGCATTGCAGAAAATTCCGTCTTATAAAAAAAATGGGAGTTGAGAGGGATTCAGAAGATGCTCTTCCTCTCCTTTTTTAAACCACTTTATTGAGGTGTGACTGACATACACAAAGTTGGACAACTTTAATGTATACGACTTGGTGAGCTTGGTAGTAAGTGGGCACCGTGAGACCTTTACCACAGTCTAGGCCATAAACAGGCATTGCCTCCAAAAGTTTCCTCCTGCCCTCTTTATCATCATTATTATTTTGTTGATAAGAACACTTACCAGAAGATCTTCCCTCTTAGCAAATGTTTAAGTGTACAATGCAGTATTGTTCACTATGGACGCCGTGCCGTCCTGGAGAACACTAGGCCTTATTCATCGCAGCAGAGTGTCTTTACTCGGGAGGTTTTAAATTGAACCTTCTTCCACTTTCGTCCCCAGGTTAACTTGCCCCTTGTCCCTCCCGAGTGAGGGCCAGCAGCGCAGCTGAGACCCATCAGGGTCTGGAGGGGAGAGGAGCCCGGACCCAGGAATGGCAGGATCTTCTCTGTGTCCCCCTCCTTCCTTCCCCCAACACCTCCCCTGGGAGTGAGTCGTTGAGTAAAAATGGGGTTATAGCCTGATCTGTCCTGACACGTCTTCCAAGGGGTAGGTGGAGGGATGACATCCGGTGTGCGTGAGAGCGATCCGCCAAGAAACCGACTCCGTGGCTGACAAGTCCAGTGTGCAGTGCCTGTGTGGGTGACTCACGGCGGCCCGAGTAGCAGGTGTGCTGGGCGGCTAAGCGTGCGGACCCACCAGAGCCTGTGTTTCCTGGTTATCTTGGCACATGTAAAGGAACAAAGGGTTCTGCTCTTCCCTCGGACTGGGTTTTAGGTATTGTCTAGCCACCAGGGGCCAGAAAGTGATCCCCCTTCTCTTTAGGGGACTAGTTTCTCCCGAGAGTGGTGAGGAGAGCCAACCTGAGGAAGCGGCTGGCTGACCCAGAGGAAGGCTGGCCCCAGGGTCTTTGCATAAGCCAATGCCTGAGTTCGCCATGGAGGAAGCCCAAGGCAGAGGCCCTTCTCCTGCCCCTGTGGCAGAGGTCATGCTGTCACCAGGCAGCGCCAGCGAGGAGCCCGACAGGCAGGTGGGAGCCAGGTTGGGGATGTTGTGACTAGTTCTGGATCAGCTTCTTGTGTCTGCACCTGCCTTGTCCCACTCCTCAGTGACTCCTTGTGGGCCCTCCCTTCTCAGGAACTTCTGTTCTTCCCGGCTCCGCTCAACGTGGGCCCGGCTCAGACTCTCCACTGTGAGCTGCCCCACCAGTCCCTCAAGTTGTGGTTTGCACAAGAATGGATTGCTTGGGGAACTCGTTAAAAATGAGTTGTCTCAGCTGCCATTGTGCCCCTCCCCCATCTCATGCATAGGGGCAGGGGAGTGCTCAGAGGCCTGCATTTTTAACAGGCTCCCCAGGCCGTTCCAATACAGATGGACACTTCAGGAATCAGGGAGTGGACTGACTTCTTGGCCAGCAAAAGCCCGAATTGAGCCTTTTCCCCGCTGAAGCTGCTTTCTTTTTTCTCCTCCAGGAAGCCTTCCAGGCTTCTTTCCACCTGGTCTGGGGCCCCACGTGTACTTACTCGGTTTGTTGGTACATGTTTTGAAATCTGAAGCTTGCAATCAGGTATCCCTTGTACTTGGTGAGGACAGAAATGGCTGTGTTTGGGTGAATGATAAAGGATCAGCAGTCCTGGGCTTTGGGAATCAGTCAGGTCCGCAGGCTCGCCCCTCCTTGGGTTTGTGAGCTCCCCAGGAGCTGGAAGAAGATGCCCACGATAGGCAGGCTTCTGGTACTTTTGTTTGTCGTGCCCAAGCAGACTGCTGTTACTTCTGTTTCTGGACATTGTCACCTTAGGTGATGTCCGCTGTAACCCTGGAGCCGGCTGGGGTCCTCCGTGGCTGGTAGCCTACCCTTCTTCACATGGGAGACGCACCCAGCACCGAGCTCGCTCTATGTGAGGAAGGGAATGGTCCTGGACGGATGTCCTCGCTTTGACCCATGCCATCGGCTGAGGATGCCCCGTTCAAAATCGTGTGCTTTGCAGACTAGGTTTGCCCCTGGAAAAAAGGTCTTCACAAAACCGATCTCGGATGACCACATGACGTGCGAAAGCCTGGAGGTAGCATCTGAGCGGAGGAATGCTGAAAAGGCTAGTTTCTGTCGAAGCATTCTTTTCGTGGTGTGAATCATCGCCTCCTCCCGCCTTTGGTTTGTTGGTACAGGTTTTCACACAGAAGTCTTGAAACCAGGTGCTTTTTGAGTTGGTTAAGAGAGCAGTGGCTGCATGGGGACAGATGATAAAAGTTCTGGGTGTCCAGAAATGAGTCAGACCTTCAGCCTCTCCCCTGGGGTCGGTGAGTCCCCCAAGCCCCACTGTCATTTGGCAAATGCCCCTCATGAGGGTCTGGTTGTACTGATTTTCAGACCCCTTTCCTTTCTTTTCCT